TGAATAAAATTTCCAGCTGATGCTAAACCGTTGCTGCTGCTGCTGCTGCTGCTGCCGCTCCTAGAATTGCCCACGAAAAACAAAGCGTCACAAGGTACCACACAGTCGATATCTTCCGATAGACATCTGTCGTTCAAGCAGCGTTAGACTTCGGTCTGAGGTGCATAATGAAGGCTACCACCCTTCATGAAACCTGTTTGGCTAACAAATCAAAAAGTCACATAGACACATAGACGGTTCTCGTCGGTGCCATACATTGTTGACAGAAGACAAATATAGGCGTATCGGCAACATACGCAACAGAGATAGTTTGCCCTCGGGTTGCACCAGAGTTCGTACTGCGACAGTATAATGGGTCGCTTCTCAAAGGTTCTAAGCCTGCAGGTTGCACCGAGTGGCCGGCGATTGATCTATACTACTTAGCAAATACGATGATTTATTAGCTAATGTGATGCGGTGTACTACTAGTGCACCTCATGCGATAACGCTTTTTTTGTTATTATACAATCTAATTTATGTGCTTCTTTATGTAGCAACTGTGCTATGAATTCTCTGGGATGAACGCAAATAAAGTACGCTTGACTCCATGGGTTTTAATCATTAATTACTAAGATTATCTTTGAGCTAATCAATATTACGTAACTCTAGGATCGACGAAACGTAATGCGTTACTGCTATTCTATGCTAGAACTATCTCGTGTATCCCATAGGTAGACTTTGAATGCGTTTAATGGGCACAGTCGACAGTATTAGCTGAAACCTCTAACCGTCCTAAGGACTGAGGAGCAAGCAAACTTTGAGGGACAGAACACTCAAAGAAAATTTAGGTAGTGCCGCTCCGAAAAGGAAGTACAGCGTAACCTAGTTCTTCGAGGTTTGATCGGAGCGCGTTGCTGTGCATATCAAGCGCTGCTCTTTGAAAGGCATCGCCGTCAAGGCAGGTGGTCGAGGTTAGATTAGCCGGGTCTAAGTAGTTGGTTGAGGCCGCAAGAACTTCCTGTTCAAGCGAGACAAAAAGAGAGAAAATCGAGGAACGCCTTGACGGTAGAGAGGATCGATCGCCAACGTCCTTGTCACGGTTCCGTGCGCTACGAGTAGGTGGCTGAAAGGGACGGCACTGGCCGTCGACCCAGTCGGACGAACTTGTTCTAACAAAAGGCCCTATTACAATGGAATAGAAGATATGAAATTGGGAAAGACCATCGCTAGTTCTAGACGGGAAAACGCCAATCAAAAGGCAGAGGCAACCCATAAACAAGCGCGTCATTAAATTTCGGTTGCCAGTCCAAACCCCAGGCTGCTGGAGTCGTTCGAATTGGGTCACTCACGATGCCCGGAAACCTAACCGCTCTTAGTACAACATACGATAGAAACAATAGATAAACTGAACACAGAGAATAGTGACCTCATTCACTTGGACAATACATACCATTATACATACAAAAGTCACTTCGAACAAAAATATATAAGAAATCGTCTTAAGAAACGAGCGACATACAAGGGTCGTATATTTGTCCGATTGCTAAATGGAGAGATAATAATTATTGCCAAAGAGTAAAGTTAAAATCATAGAAGAACGACAAATACACGAATCAGTGTAGTGCCTCGTCACAACTGAACGAAAGTTGACTTCGTTTTTCTTGTTTCAAAAGTCAAAACACCGATATACGCTCTGATTAATGGTCGATCTTCCCACAGAGGACGTGTACTCCATCGCGGTCAGCTAAATTCGGTGGACCATAAATCTATAGTACCACGTAAACTCACCCAGTTCCCAAACGGCCATCTCGACAGAAATCGACCGGCAGTGACGAGATATTTGGGCGGGTCTCGAACGATATCTACGAGACTGAGAGATCCTAAAGTCGTTCTCGAATGGGTTAGAGGCTGTTATAGCGCCATCTATTGCACGATGCACTTCGAACTAGTCCTTGTTCTCTTTCTTTCTGACGATCGACTATATGACTAGCACGATCTAGAGAGATGCATCGAAGAATCGAACAGAGTTTGTTGCTAGGTCAGTGGTCCTTGAGGGAGTTGTGATCGTTGTTACTGGCATACTGATGTTCGCAAGGCAGTGGAAACCCAATCGTCGAGGCGGAAGCAGACATAGTTGCGAATATCTCACTACCCATGTACGGCGCATCGAACTGCTCTGCGGCGATACAAAGGTCACCAGGAAGTTCCTGATCCGATCGAACCATCCGACGACGTTCGAGATAGAGGATGGGTGCGAGTTTTCACCGCACTCATCACGGCCATTTTTGCTATGTGCATTTATACATCGACGAGATAGGGAAGCATCGCCGAGGACCTAAGTGGTATAATTTTTGCTCAGTTAAGTACTTGTACCGATACGAATCCGACGTTATTACATTTCTGAAATAAATTATCTGTAATGACGCTAGACGCATTCCCCTATTGTGATCGTACAATAACTATCTAATAAAGCGAAGCAAGAACAAATCTGTTTTTCCGGGGAATCCATTTACTACTGAGATGTTCTGAAGAACTGAGGGAGACGCTGAAGAAGTAATGTCCGAAATCGGATTGCTGTTCACCTCCTTATCTTATTGCGGGTAGATCAAAAATGAGCTTAGTTGAAAATCAGTTTCTGCCATGTCTCGTCCGAGTCGAACTACCGTATTTGCCTCACGAACGGATGCCCCGGACGCTTGTAGATCTTACCACATTCCCATTGAATTTCATGTGCATTGCACTGCCGATTCGACATAGTGTAGTTTTTGTTTTCAATTTTCATTATACAGTAACTTCACTTTGCCCCAATAGTTGGGCTTTCTGCGCAACCTGAATGCTCCCCTTCCCTGCACCTCCTTTGCCTCTCTCTCTCTCTCCCTCTCTCTCTGTCTTTTGCCCTACTTTCTTGTTTTCGGGGTTCTCCTGAGCCTGAGCGTAGCCTGCCAACAACTGTCTGAAAGCTGTCTCGGATTTCGCGATAGTCCTTCTGTGTGATGGCCCGTTCGCACAAAATAACATTCCCATGTCAATATACAGTTGTCCTGCAAGCGACTCATTTATATGGGAGCCCCAAAGCATGAGTGCGAAAGGCCATAAGCAAAGGTATAAGTGAATCACGGGTGCAGAGAAACGACGAAAACATGATAAAAGAAGGATGTTCGGTGTTACCCCACTCGTCTTAGTTGTCCGTGTGGGGACGTCCCCGCGTCACGACGACCGGTGAAAAAGAGATGCCCCTCAAGGCGCTCTACATGGAAAAGGTTGGCGATTTGCTAGGAGCTTGCGAGATCTCTCTTAGGAAGCGGTGGTTTGCTCAGAGCCAAGCAAGTATAATCGCGCACCAACAGTCAGGCGCTCGTTGTGGGCAATAGATCTCTCTTGGAATGTGACAGGTTTTTGGGGCTCGACAGCTCTGCACTCTTGGCCCATGCAGCAGCGGCAGTTCTGTCCTACGAAACAACCCAAAATGTGTTGAGGAAAAACATAATCAGTAATACCATATATATATATATACATATATATATATATATATATATGAATTTACGAAATTTGTGCCAAAATGCATGCCTACCTTATAGACCTTGTTACACATTGAAGAAATACAACCTGTTAATAAATATGAGTAATATTAACAATGTGTAAAAGCACATTCAAGCTATGATAACTAAACTAGTAGGTTTTTTATAGCTTAGAATTTTGGAAGATTGATTAACCGTTTGTTTTGTCCGTTGTGTCTCATCAATGTGAAGTTACAACTTCTCAGCCTTTCCGCTGTCAAGTAGAGATGTTCGTCTAAGATTTACATTATTACGAATTGGCTGCTTTTACTACTTCACTTACGTCCCTTACTTATGAACTTCACTGGTAAACGCTGAGTTATGCATGCTGCTCTGCTGTATTTATCTTCGCATGGAAGACCGCTGTTTTTTGCACATTGGAAAGTTTTCATACGCTATAATAAGTCTGTATATTCGATTGTGTAAGTTCACACGCTATTGCTAACCTTAATATCTATTATTATCTGCTGTTCATACGGTAAACTCCTATTAAATTATAACTTATATAAAAAAAAAAAAAGACACAGTGAAGCTGAAATAATCGATCTATGTAATGCGGAAACTTATCACAATACACGTTTTTCCATTGGGCATCTTCTCGCTGCTACACACACAACGAGCATTTGAAAACATGAACAGTTAAAGCAACTGATTAAACTTACAGATAGTAAGTTCGAGATGATACCAACTCTGCCCTATTTGACGTTATTGGTAAGTTCAGTTGTCGGAACTGGAACAGGCTGTCTGAGTCAATCTTTGCCTGACTCGCCACATTCTAATTTTCGAGCTTCATAATCTGCAATTGCTTAGATTGATAACAAAAGCCGTAACGTGTATACGTATAACGTTTGCTATACGTGGCGTATACGGACTGAACATGTAATAATTATTTGAATTAAATGACTGTTGGCGCGTGGGGGAACCGAATGGTCCGGCTTTATAATCGGTGACGTTTTTGTCGTTAGTCACGAAGACACGTTAAACTGACGCTGATGATTTACTGCAATACTAACAATCATCACTGTCGTCGTCGTCGTCGTCGTATCAGTAACGTCAAAGCTTCGCAAGAAAAATTCGCATATATTAATAATATTTATCAGTTATTATATTCATTTTCTGGTAAGAGCGGAGCTATAAATGTTACGAGAAACAGTGATAATATTATGAAAGGAAGCAGGTTGAAATCTTCAGCGAGCATCATTAAGGTACATTTGGGCAGAGTTTATCTAATAAAAGCGTTCCTGTTGACGCACTTGCATTTGCACCGATACGTTTCTTCGTATGCGTAACGTTGCTAGCTAATCCTTCACCGCACCACAAAAGCGAAGCATTGAACGTCTGAACAACAGGTGATTACCCGGCCAGTTGGGTCACAGTCATTGATTACTATTACTTCCTACGGGTGACTCTGTGACATCGTGTCTACTGTTCGTTACCCTACCTATTCTTAATAGAAATATATAACAGGTTTTCTAGCATCAAACTGTGTCGATGCTGCGCAAACGTGTGTCCGTGTGTGTGTGTGTGTGTGTGGCGTCTCTTCGAACGTGAATTAGGTTCATTGAAAGGTGAAAAGTTAGGTAATTTTTGCAAATTTCATTAGTGTATAATTCACGGCTTTACCGAGCCGTTATTTCTAGGGCTAAAGCAAAAGTCTGTTGTTACTATCGTTAAGATAGTAAATTGACGCTTAGGCCAGATCGACGTTGCTTTCAGTAATTCCGAGTGGTGGAACTCTGACTAATCTCTTATTGATAGGAGTCCAATTTACCCAGAATTTAATTTCCGCAGAACCCTAATTCGAGATGGGCAAGCCCCAGGACAGGGCATGCGAATCGTTCGTTAGAGTATATAGAGATAAATACCTGTTGTAAATGTCGACTGAAACAGCAGACTAACTACCGTTGGAAATCATGATTCGCTCTCACAAACGTTACTATCGTAGCTATTACTAGTATTATACGCGTATTGTACGATGATGGACCATGACAAGTTGACACGTTCGCACGTATTTTTCATCCGATGCAGCACAGATATTCTGGGTTTTATATATGGTGTATATAGGTTCTGACCCAGACCGCCTTTTACCAGATGAAGCGACCTATGCTTTCACAATATCTGTGTCATTAAATACACTTAGCAAAATCTTTGCTTTAGCGAATAAGGTTAGGATCTGTCTAAATAATGAACCCTTCGTTTGTCACATGAAGCTCAGATAACGTTTCATAAGGTTCGAACTCAGTTCGGGATCAACATTCGATGTAATTTCTACCAGACACCTCAGAAAATCAGACGTCTGTTCTCAAATTGAAAGCAATAACGATATTATTATTTACCAATTTGGCAATGGTTTTTTAGTCCGAGCAGGTAATGGCGAGAAACGTAACGACCTCACCTTGAGTTCGGTGAAGGCTGAGTCCGAGAGCTTGTGCAGGCCCCTACGTGACTTGACGGCTACCAGCAAGATGTTAGTGACAGCGCTGCTGCTAGCTTTGCTGTCGCTGCTCAGTCAGAGTCTTGCGTATGAACCTGTGAACGGCCGTGCCCTATACGAAGATATGCTGAACAAAGGCTCATTGTACGGAGACTGTTGGACCAGCGCGATAGCGATCGTAAATAATAGTTGTGCCATTATTCATCCGCCTCCAGACGTCGAGGCTTACTCTACACTCGCTCTGTACAGCTGTTTCATTGAGAAGTTCGAGAAACGACGGATTCAGTGCGGTGACAACAAGCACACCATTAAATGCCCGGAGTTCCAGAAAGAACTTCGGGATGACTTACATCGTCAAGTGTACACCGTATTTTTAGGAATACGGAGGATGTTCTGTGAACACTGGAGGGTCAAGGTAATTGAAGCTAGCAGCAGACAAACGGAGGCGCCCTGGGAGGGCAGGACCTACATATATGATCAAGGTGATACAACCCAGAATAGGACCGAACAGATATCCGTCAATAAAATTTGGATGAACAAATGCACAGACCCAAAAATATGGGGCAATCTAATCGAAGTGATCGCAGAACTGACCAACGAGGTGCGGAAGTTAATGATGACGATTTACAATCAAGTTTCGTATGGTCTAAACCTGTACGTAGAAGCCTTATGTATGGAAGCATGGCAGAACATTCCCTATAGCGTACTAAAAGAATTAAGCAAATTTCACGACCGTCTGATTATGTTCTGCAGTCCGGTTCGGAGATGCCTGTACATACTCTACGACGTGACAAATAACTTACTTGAAATTATAGCGCTAATCAGAAAAACTCTGCGGCCGACGATTTGGTATTGCACGAACTACATAGCAATAGGGTGGCGCCAGGCTACTGAACTTATACGAATTTCGGTGCCGCTCTGGATACAGTTTCCTCAGATCGTTCGCACCGATGTGCGGACATGTCCAGAAAAACCGTTTAATATGTCCATGAAGACGATAGGGCTCATAGCAAGGTTTGAATCAATCGTCGCGCATACCTGGGCCTCAGATTTGCTTCGTATCTTCTGGAACTATCGGGAAGCGAAGGGTGACCCAAATCGTAAGATCGATATAATGCTGATAATGCTTGTATCTGCTAGCTACGCTTTTGAGAATAAAGTAATTGCCTATTCCCTGAAGAACTGTGCAAATGTCGGCGAAACCCATAGCCAGGCGGTGCAGTACATCAAGGAAAATCACCGTGCCTCGAGAGCTCTCGTCATCTTATTAATGTTGACCTTATTGTTGTTGGATATCATGTTGAGATTACTTGGGAATCCTGACGAGTCCACTTGCATTAGCCCGGGCAGTCCCATTGTGCGCGAAAGCATACCCACTTCAACAACTGCCGCCGATGACACACCAGCCAAGAATACTTCGCCTCCTGAAGAAAACTAAATTACCTGATTATCCAACGCTAACCTCGGAAGGGTCCATCTAACCTGTACTCTTTTACGCTGTCGGTCGCCGACCTAGCAGTTTTGGATCCTTTCAGCATTGCACTCGGTCCAATATTAGTGTGAATCAAGATTATTTTAATAAAATCAACTGGCGGTAATCATATCACGATAAGATGCTTTTTTTTTCTTTCGATGTAACTTCTATGGATGTCGCAGTTCAGGTAGCATACGAATGATCTAAACCGACCCACTCACATATATATGGTGTGTATTATACATCTTAGTAGCCCCATTTGAGACGATGCTAGCAGTCGGGTTATGTGCTGCAGTTACTGAATGGCTTTAGTGTTATGTAGTAAATGTGCTACAGCCTGTTCTGACGTCGTCTGCTATAAGTGGAGCACGTAACGCTGCATAGCTTAGCGTACTCGTACGTAATCGACCTAAATTAATATATAATGAGAGACAATGCTGCACAAAACAATTTCACCTTACCGACAAAAGACGATCAGTGACAGTCACCTGAATTAATAGAAACCCACGAAAAATTATTTTTTCTCTCTTCTTTTCTCTTCTGAAAAATATTACATATATACAGTTATCACAATTAATTAATAATGAAATGAAAATAATAAAATGGTAATTGAACTTCCAACTACTACATGTTGCGAATATGAGCAATTATACTCGGTTCCTATCGCCTTCGTTGATGATGTACGAACGAGGACCAATGCAGTGACTGTCGCTCACACTGGCCTGAACACCGAGAGTTTAGCTTTGTTCTTTTGAATCGGGTAATCATAATTGTTTAGGCCACTGCATGAGCCTAATCGTGTAGTGAATGCCTGAAATGTTAATTTAGTAATCGCTTAACCTAAACAACCATTTATGTCCACCAATAGAATATTACACAAGTGTCAATTAATAAACCTCGTACATCATTATATATATATATATATATATATATATATATATATATATATATATATAACCTTTTCTAAATAAAGCTTTACAATGCCTAACACTGCATCCTTGTTGCATCCTCCTTATCTTCCATAGCCATGCTGATAATAGATATGAAGTATCACAGGTGCGCCTATGTACCAAAAATTAAATTTGGAACTAAATTAAATCGTACATTTCATAACACTTGATAACGGTCTACCGTTTGACAACCGTTGTTTGAGACACTGCAACACTGTAACATCAACGATATGCCCATAGATATGGGACGAACCATTGGAAATTCGTTAACAGGACGCTGCAAAAGTGTGCAGGGCCAATGGAAACTTTTGAGGCCGTTTTGCCGGCTGACTGGAAGCTACTGGCCGGAGTATATATCCGCGGTATAGAAATTCAACCACGTAAGTTCAAGGACGCTGTTAGTATACTTTTTTCCTTAATGCATTTGCCGTGTCCTTGGTAATTATTTTTCAGCGTCCCAACCCGTTTCCACTGCTCGATGACCGATCAAATAGGATCCGAATAGGTAAATTAATGCTGATCTAAATAAGGCTAGACAAACACATTCAGTCTAACCTTATAAACGCTATATTCATAATATCTGCGACTTCATATATATACACATTCTATTCTAAGTAAATGATCGTAAAGTTCGGATTCAAACGATTGTAAATTTACATAAACATTATATCGATCGATACGATTGCAGGATCTTCTTTGACCCGAACATCACGTGACAAAAAGAAGTACGGCAGAAAGAATGAAAAGGAATGATTCCAACAGTCCAATGAATAGAGTTAGATTGATATAGGTAGGAAGCTGGTAATTCGATGAGATCGATTATTGATGCAAGCCAATAAATTGCAGCTCGCTAAAAAAAACCCCCGTACCTCAACTGCTGCCAATTACGTAATCCCTACTAAGCCTAACATCAGTTGAAGTACTAGTGCCATAGTGAGATATATAGATTCTCAATAGTTATAAAACACATAAAATCAGGAACCAGTATAAGTCTTATGCCAAAAAGGGAATTATTATGCTATTTTTATGTCATTGGCAAGAAGCTTCTGATCTCTACAACCACGCGAAGCAGGCATGTTTCTATTACACACAATATCGATATAAAATTGATTTTAGCAGTTCTAGCAGTTGAAAGATCTAAACATTAACGACGCTCATTTTTATACCGAAATCTCGGTCCTATCTTTAGTTTTCCCTTAAAAGCTAGCGGAAATTCTATCGATGCCTGATAATGAGCTAACCGATCAAATAGAACATCCACCGAAAGCGGTGGGATTTTGAAACATGCACAAACGCATATATATACGTATATACATAACTAGACTGAGAAGGCATTCGGTGCCAATGATCAACCCACTTTTGTTACTATTTATCTGTTTATATTAAAGCTGTTACGTCGTCCCGCTTCCCGCTGAAAGACTATTCCAATTAAAAAGATGACCCTTCGGTAGAGATTTTGGACGTCCTTTTAATGTTTCTTTGTATACAGTCTAACCAGCCTATCATCACCCTCACTCCTATCATTCCCGTACATTACTGGATAAATGCCGGGCCAGTACATTCCGTCCGTGCCTTCATACGCGTCGTGAGCACTTCATCAACATTATTCATATGCCAGCATCAAGCGATAATGAGCCAGGTCGGACGTCCTCCCGCACATGATAACCCGGCTACGATAGTTTCCGTATAAAATTTTTTTTATAGAAATAGGTGGTATGGTTACGTTGAGGTGGCGTACGCACCCCATAGGTACAAGCGTACCTACAATCGTGCACTCATCTATGACCGAAGCAAGCTAAACGTTGAAATATAGTAGCCGTCAGTGATTAGGCAGGGAGAACTCGTACAGCCGATGCATTTCCAGCCGCTCGCTTTGTCGTCCTGTCAAGACAGCCCGGCAGAAACAATGAAAGTTAACAGATAGCAATGTTCCGTTAATGATTGCCGATATCGTTTGGTGCTAACAGCGTCGTCATCGTGGACGGCGGTGAACGTAGATAATTCATTGCGATGATGCATTGACGTCCGACTTAGCAACGGCAATAGGGCCCATCGTGACCGTACGCAGACTTCTGTGCAGATAAAAAGAAATGGGCGAAATTAATGAAAATAGAATATGGCTAGGGCGATCAATGCTGCTTTGAGACAGACTATGTCAGAAGCTGAGCCGTTAAAGGCCCGCTACTAGTGGAAGAATCTCTTTGGCTTCATCTGAGTGTTGCGTTGTCCGGGACGATCCTTGAAGCTGAAAACACCGTAAAAATATTCGGTAGCAATGACGGATGAACGTCTAGACGCGAAGCTTAATTTGGCTTGTCTCATATAGAAATTTCTTGTTTCAGTCAAACATCTTGTCGTATACGTTAGTCGTATGCTGCGACGGATTCCTATAGCTACTGATCTCTGTTATTACTCTGCGGACATTTGCCCACCTATATGGCGAACTGACATATTGTGCTGTTTTTTTATATATATATTTTTTAAATTAGATGTTTCCAGCGTAATTGTACAAGACGTTTGTTCTATCGCGTCAGAGAATAACGCCAGTCTTTTTTCACCAGCTGCACTTATTTCATAGATCACGTACTATTTTATATCCAAGAGTCATTGAAAGTTACATTGTAATTTTTTTAGGTTATGAATAAGTTGGAAATGCCAAAAATTATTTTGGGAACGCTTTCGATATTAAAGTTGATGTCAAAATTAGAAGTTCATTAGCACACGATACACTGAGGAACAATGATCATCATCATATGTCAACTGTCAATACATTTGAGCGAACATTGGTAATTCATAACCGATCCATGTAACTCGTTCTGTCAATGTTTCAATAGGCCTGTTTCCGGACACAAGATATCTGAATCATCTTTGAAAAAGGTCGAGAGCAGGCTTTGCCGTCTATACCCGAGCATAATAACATGTTTTTTTTCATTTTACACACCTCACACTAGTGAGGCCAGGCTGTTGAAGTAGTCGAAAAATCGGTCCTTTGCAAATGACAAACCGCGTACCCAGACCCACTCGCCTTTTACCTACACCTGTTGTATATTTTACGATAAGACAACACAACAGAAAGTGATCCCATCGGTATCGGTGGTTATATCGGTCACTATTCTATACTCATTCATATCGCACTGGTCCTTTTTTCAGCATAGGAGCGGAACGAATCTTCGCCAGCTTTTATTACCCTGGAAATATTTCTCTCTAAGCGAAGGAAACTTACCATCTCTAGTAAGAAGTCATCAGCGCCATCACTATTGCCGCCACTTTCGTTCGGCATAAACCTCTCCGCGTATTAAAGATACGCCAGTCGCTAAATCGTTCGACGCAACCAATTACCAACCTCCCACCCACCCCCATTCGCCCCGCTCCCCGCTTCCATGCTCCACTGCCAGTTATGGAAAGTATCGTCGATTTTGCTTAACAAGCTCTTTTTCCTTTTCCTGAAGTGGTACATCCGTCTACAATTATTGTGGCTACGAATACGACCACAACTGCTACTGCGGGACCGCTATAGACCAACCTTCCGGAAGGATTCGCGTGAGCGTAGGGCCACGAGGGAACAGATGAACCGACAGAGAGATATAAGCAGCGCGAGCCGGAGTCCGGTGCTACAATTTGGCTCATTGCGCTGATCGATGGAAGCAGCCATGATCTCTTTCACTTGTTTTATTGTTTAGCGTATATTTACGATGCCAACAATGGCGTCGCGATGGTGGCCGCTGCCGCTATTGTTGATATTATTTCTGTCGCTATTGGTGGTGGCGTTGCGGTCTCGTTGTTATTGTAAATAACGCGCTGATTCCACCTCCACAAGCGATTCTCGGGGAACCTGACTCTGCGACGCGTTAAATAGATAACGTCATTGTGTGTGTGTGCGTGCGCGCGTGCGTGCGTGCGTGCGCGTCTGTTTGTGGGTCTTTGTCAGTGTACGGTAGATAGCTATAAACCAAATGGCCGCAGCTCTTCTTCGCTGACGAGCAGCATTAGGTGTGTCACGGCTAATCTTTGACCGAGAGAGAGACGCGTCAGTCAGAAAGAAGACTCTATAGAAGATCACCACTCCAGCAACAGTAAGCGCTTACCCTCAACAGCTGGCATTTCCAGATTGCTATTCAAAGGCCGAGTGTGGCGGGCGCATGGTACATCGCAGACGTCTAGCGGAGTACCAGCAGTCTGGGTACAGTGTACATGGCGCTCTAAAGCATGCTTAACTGGTTGTTTCAACTCGTGCGCTACCGTGCACAAGTGACCCGTAGATAACGTCTACTTCACTGCGACGAGTAACATAGAACCAGGCATCAAGGTAGTCGCTGTTACCGGCTTTGCTCGATCAGCGCAATTGCTGGTTAAGATTAGCGAATCCAGCTGATTTCGGGCGGAGTAACTACTAACTGACGTCGCGCTGGGTTATAACCATACCATGCTCGTACACATATAGCCACGAAGCGGCAAGATTTAAAGATTTGACCAAGGTACTACGCGGCCGTCGCTCTCGCCTCCTGGATAGCAATCTGGAAGACGCCAGCTGTTGACGGCAGGGACAGTATTGCCACGAATACTCAAAGAGAAGTCGAATCAGGAAGACAGTGGTAGTAAAAGACGGAGATGGCGCAACGAGAGATACACACCCAAACACACAATAGCAGGCAGCCAGTCGGATACAAGGCGCCTCCCGTCACTTTATGGAGGTTTTCCCGTGAAGAAGCAAGGTAACCTGTGTACTTTTCCATATTGTGTGAAACATATACGGACATGTCTGTGTGCGTGTGGTAAACGAGACGACTTGTAGACCATTGTTAGTATTTCACTGCATGGCATATTGCGGTATAGGGTGAGGGTGAATTTTCGAGGCTGATAACAGTAAAAAATAATTGAGAGACAGAATAGTCGTAAGTTCAATCTGCTTTGATGCATGTACTCAAAGTAAGCTAAATAGTGAGGCTTGCAAACGCTAGTCTGCATTAGGTTTTTTAGCGCTGATAGCTGTTTCAACTAGAATCGCTTATGTGGTAGAACGAACACAGACAAGTCAGTCAAATTCGAAAATTTGTTTGTAAAAAATAAGGACCAAAAAATCGACGATGATGTCGTGTGTACCGGTTGTGTTACGAATTTTGTCCATTCACTGGATATAAAGTCGCAGATTCTATAATAACAGCAAAAAGCCAAAGTGAACGTATACGTAATATCTGTGAGTGGACATGAAAAAACACAAACAAACAAACAAAGACTACTTTTGCTCGAACTTACTGGCCTTTCAATGCGTGCTCTATCGACACCGGAGTCGAGGTAGTTCCTGGCCGATTCGACCGCTTTTATCCGCTACGATTTCCCATTCTCAGCATTGGGGTCGTCGTTGTGATGGGCAGCAACAAAACCCAGTGTGGTCCTGCGACCCATTTTCAATCACCTTCCTCTATATAATGTGCCACATGTCCCACGCCTATGAGTCCCTGAACCAAGAGTGGGTTTCGCAACTTTCACTTTTTTTTTTCCATTATAGAAACGAAGTGAGTATCGTTTATTTTTGCCATTTGCTGTTTACTCGATCGCTAATACGACTGCTGTGCCCAGTTACATATGCGCCATAAGTAGTATACGACCGGGCTTGTGCGGCACACTTCGATAAACATTCGAACTTCATCCCAACAGAGACAACTCGTTAAGGCCACGCCAACCTCGACCGAAGGGCTTGGAACTGTTCTTGCCGATTATCCGTTGTTGGTGGTCTGGTCTTATCCGTTCATTAGCAGCCTAAGGTATATTGCCTTGTCGTCGCGAATTCGTTCGAAAATTAATGAACATGGGAAAACACCAGTAGCTCATGTAGTCGAACCGGCAGAAGCAGTAGCTGCCGAAGAGATGACAGCCAAAATGCGCAGATAACGAAATCGGACGAAAACTCCGATCCGCCCTGCGTCGTCCCGCTGGTCTGCTGCCTCGCAGGACTAAGTCCTTCGCGATGCAAACAAAGCCGCTTTCGCCAAAATCTGAAACAGTGAAGTCGTTGGCCGGGCATCAGGAGCAACAAAAAAATTAGGTGGTCATCACCGTTGAGGACTTCAGAAGACAACAACGGCACCAGTGACCCGAGCGTCAACCAGTCCAATGCCACTAATCGAACATGGAAGATAATGTTGTACGGCATGTACGTTATACGTTATGAGTAGTACGGACGTTAGAAGCTATGAGTAGTCGTATGTACAAGTAGCCGTGAAGTGGTGAGAGGAAACTGTACAGTTTAAACTGCTGACTTGAAAGAACGATACAGGGCTATTGCAAAACGATATGCTGTCTATAGTAGTTTGAAAATATGTATTATACGAATTCAGAGCTTGATTTCATCGAATTATATCGCGCTCACTTGTAGCAGGTGAACAAAGGTCGATGCATAGGCATTGCTTGAGCTGAACGCTAAAACGAGCCCGCACTCGGAGGCACGGCTGCATTGTGACGCTGTGACACGCACACGTAAACGTGTACTTCATTTTGTAGGAATATAGACTCTGTCGAATACATTCGTCCATATTGTATTGGCTTTTTTTTTTTTTTTTTTTTTCTAGCTAAATTGTTTTGAATAGATCTAACAGAATAGGTTGCGTTTAATCCGTGTTGATGCCATTTGAAGGCTGAAACGATGCTCGTCGAAAACTACAGAAGTACTATTATTCAGAGTCGAGATATCGCGGGAGTCTAGAGTAAAATTTGAAAAACCTTACAATTTTGTTTACAACAAAGACACATGATAAATGCTGTCCCCATCTATGAAAGTATGTGATTTTTTGTGATTAAAATACGTCATCGGAAAAGATCGATAAAATTAGAGCAAAAATTAAACTGGATCAACGTGTGACCAAAAAAAAGAAAAAAAAAAAAAAAAAAAGGGAAAAAAGTTAAAAATATACCATTTAAACATTGGGGAAAACTCGATGTTTGGATGCCGTTCGGTTCGAACGAATGAATTTTCATCTGTCAAACCCTATGAAAACACAACGAGATCAAGATACTTCTAAAAGGGTCGATTGCGAATGATAAAAAACGCATCGCTTAAAAATTCAAAAAAAAAAACATACTTTAAAATTAGCGGCAAAAACTGGTGCTGAAAGAGACAATGCTATCGGTGTTGTGAATTCGTGAACGGCATTGTTTATTACGATGTCAAGGCCAGAGCACAATTGAGAGACCTGAAATAGGACATTCGAAAGCATCCACTGTGGAGTTTGGCCCTTGCACTATTAGATTAGTGAGATCGGTTTCGGCCTCTGTCGAACTTGCGATAGTTTGTCTTCAATGGAAAAATGCTAAGGTCGGTCATTCGTCATAATTTTCCGCCGAGAAACCACAGATGTTCTACAGTGATTGTATTAATGTGTGATTAAGAATGGCAGAAGGTAATCGATCAACAAAGTGCATGTGCTTTTAAAGAGCACTGCCATTTTAAACTATGGATATCATTTGGTTTACTTTTAACTTGAAAGTAGTCAACATGCTTTTTGTATATATATATATATATATATATATATATATATATATATATATATATATAACACAAAAACTCCGCTCCAGTAAATAGTACGTCGCAATTGATTAACTGCGCTACAATTTGGCACAAAATCACTCTGCTGTAAATTGACTGCTCGATTATCCAGTTTGATTCGCTATTCAGGACACAAAACTGGTGGGTCCGACATGTTGGTGCAATATGGATGATTGTGACGACGACGACCACAATAACAACGAGTACTCACAGCTATTACCTGCCGTATCCGGCCGGGGCAAACATTCCTTTTTGCTGTCGACATATGACGTGTACCCACATGTCGACTGCCGCCAGACTGTGAGGTACGAAAACAAGAGTTTAATTAAAAAGCAGATTAATATAACAGAAGGCCAAACAAGACAGGTGCTATTTAGAGAGAGAAACGCCGAGAAATTGAGAGGCGTAATGGCCTGCGCTACGCTCAAAAAACGGACCAGTGGGAATGGGCGGGCTTGCGGTTGCCGCTAAAAACGAGATGTAAGAAACCCAGTTCAGGCGGCTGCTGATCTCGACAGCAGCAGCGCTGGTAGACCCGCTGGGCTTCGTACTCTTTTCGCATAAGATGCATACTGAATACTACAGTGATTTCGTCGATTTCGGTATCGCCAATGGTAGGTAATAAGATACACACTTGGAGGTATTATCAGCCCGAACGGGGGCCGGAATCTTGATAGTGTGTCATATAGCAGACATATATGCATATATAACGATTGATAGTACATCCTATTTGTGCTCGATGATTTCACATAGAGAGTGCAAATTGAATTATACCTAATTTACATGTTTTATAGTAACCGTGCCAGAAATTTTAGATAAAAATATCGATATGCAGCACCTACTATTTGATATTTTTGCGTGTATTTATTTAGATTGGAGATGTCTTTCATTTTCTATTCCACCTAAGTTTGCAGTAACGACCTCGACCTAGTCTGAACCTTCACAGAAATATACGCAGAGCGTAGTTGACACCTAAAAAAACTTTAGAAATGTTTTTTTTTGGCATGTTCGATAAAACCGCGTTCAAATGAATATGCTCCTAAAGTTGACCTAAGGCTAAGCCAACTGTAAGAGAATGGGTTTGCATTATGATGCAAAAGAGAGGATCCTGAGTGAGTTAAACCTCAGGCAAGCAACTTCATTGAACAGTCACTAGTTCTTCTTCAGACACAGTTGTGCGGCTCCGACATGATGTCATTCATTCTTTAGTATGAGCCACCATCTTCGCACTTCCTGGTAAGGCATCAACAAGACTGGGACCCCATACGTTCTGTCAGGTAGCCGCGTAATAACAGCGGCACGAGTAGAGTGCGACCGCTAACTATTCTTTACCTGGGTATACACATCTGTGCCGTTGTTTTCTGCCGACATATGGTTTCTCTTTCTTGAGACAGGTGAAGATAGCGAACATTTAACGGGTCAAGGCTGTGTAAGCCACTCAGGCCAAGCAGACCCAGTCTAGAACCTGCACTCGCTCAACCAGTAAACTAGGAAATCCTAATCGTCCATCTTTGCTTGTTGCTTTCAGAGTCTTTTTGTCCTTTCTACGATAGCATTTGAACCTGCTGTCGAGATACCACGCCTCTGGTTGGCCTGACGCGCACGAGATGTCTACAGCCCCAGTATAGATGCACTCTATGCGGCAAACACAACTTCTACGCGGGTTTACTAGGTTTCCTAGGTATTACTACAGTGCGAGCTTCCGACAAGGCTGCCAAGCAGTTGGATGAGCCAACAATGAATCCACTAAAAGAGAAGGAAGGAAATTTGCTGTAGGATAGAGATCGATATAGCAGCCGTTTTTTCGGCAAAAGACGGTTGGCTTCTGTTCATTGAAAAAACGCATCTAGACAGCCATAATACCAAAGACGATGTGGCACGGAAGTTACGACACGTTGAGATAGACAGACAGATGAATGCGGAGCAAGGTTAAGTTAGGTTGGGGGCGACCTGCGGAGGAGGTAATGGAGGGAGGCCTGAAGCGCGAGAAGGTCAGAAAAATTGTTTCAGATTCACTGAGCAAGTGAGCGTTCAATTCGCAGGCATATGCGCAGACGTGTAATCCTGGCATCGCGTACCTGAGCAAAACTCTTCCGAGCGACAACTTTTCTCGTTGCGCCGTAAGATCGATTGGCGGCCATGTAGGTCAGAAGTGGGTGACTACTAAGGCTGCAGGAATGGTAATATCTAAGGTTTGTAACTGAGATGTATGGTTAAGGCGTGCGTGTGGACGTTAGCGGGTGTTTCATCAACTGAGACTAATTTTATGTCAGTAAGAAGGGCCAGGTACCGTACAGATATAAGAAGTTTACGTATTTTGACACTGCTTAATAAGGAACTCTATCGCTAGTTAGGGAATAATGTAAGGATCGGTGTATCTAGTAGTTCTCCATGTTGGGCGCGCTCGTCAAGTGGATAAGCCTATTTTCACTGTGATATGCAATGGAACCTAAGCGTACGCGACAGATGCTTCGCTTGAATAGATACCATTAGATCACTGATATTTATGCTATAAAATAGATGCGTTCATCTTTGGATGAACAATGATGCTGGATATATGACTTAGGAAAGCCAACATCGTCTGAGCAACAGTCAGAACGTGAACTACTGTAGCGCCCCTGCCGGTCCAAACAAGCTTGGGCTTCGGTTTCATTGGGGCTTTTTTGTTTGGGTTATGGGCTTTCGGCCCGTTGCGTCAGTCTTGAAATGCAATGTAAACAAATCGTCGTAGAATAAATTAACAACCATCGCCTCTACGATGTACAGGTACATCCTCTTTCCAAAAGCTCCAGCTACCCCACTGATTATTGACAACATGATCGACGCGTATAGTTGAAAATGTACCCATGCAATTACAGTTTGGTGCATAAATTCTAAATAGACCTAGTCGTCGCATTAAACAATTTTGGAAAGGTTTGCTTCTGCTTCTTATAGGTCCATGTATGACATAGGCCTGTGTAGAGTACGCAAATAGTGTTAAGCAATATAAAGTCTATCTAATCTGGATAAAAAATGTTTCCAGATCAGGCGAATGTCACATAGGGGTATTAAGCGTGAAGTCGATCAATTTGCATAGACTGCATAGAGCTGAGGGTTGAAAGCAATTGGCCACTGGGGGGTTCATTGGGGAACAGGCTTAATCATTCTACGTCCATTAGTAGCTGGCCCGCTAGATTTCGTATCTAGCCTTTTTAACTTATTGATGAGTCACAATGGCATGAATGGACTGAGTGGGTTCCTGTTCAACTATGTGTGGCAAATTAACGCGCGAAAACTCTTCGCCTATTTAGACTGAACACTGGGCTCTATTAGATGTAGAGGACAAACATATACAGTGATGCTAAGAACTGAGCTTTCAGTTGAATTCTTATCGCTTCGGAAACGCCCGATCGTTGAACTGGAATTTTCAAGCGACGTTCACGCTAAAAAAAAACTACGCTATCTACTAGGTAAATGTTAATGTAATACTGACAGACGATACAAAGAAGTATTGCGCAAATTAAGTTAGACTGGAAACTCCGTACTTAGTTAAAGCTTCATCAATTCCCTAGGGAGCTTTGCTGCAACTAGTCTTGCATCGCCTGGGAATCGAACTCGCGTCGCAAGAATGGAACGGTTGCATGACGTTAATGTTGTGTTATATAGCTACACGAGAATTGGCTCACATCTAATGTATATATATATATATATATATTTAATAATAAGATCCCAGTTTTTCTCTTTGCATTAGAAAAACAATGGCTAACTTTGAGTGTACCTCGAAATTGCCAGCGCGCCTGCTTGCGACAGGTGTTTTCGATAGCTGATCCTGCAGTAGTTGTCCCTTAATGATACATAAACATTAATATAGCAAGGATATCGTCGACAGAGAAAAAATGTGCGACCATTGATCGAAAGCACAGTTCGGTCCGTTCTTCATTATAAACAGTACATAGTATTCTACTTTTTCGTAATGCGGACGTTTAAGTTAGTTGTCGTTCTTTACTGGGGCACTCTGTAGAAAGGTACCTCAATCTCACTTCGTGCATATTCATGTGTCTACACCGATTTTATCATAACGTCCAACGAATAGAAAAGATAAATATAAACAACAACTTCGTCACTACCCTGTTTTTCCTAAAGACATGTAGTGTTTGTGCTCAAGCTAACGGCATTAACATGATACAATACTTGTGGGCGGCGGCCCCCGCATTCAATCAGTGGGCCAATCCCCCAAGTGACATCGGCCACCACCTATGCATCCATCTGTGGAGCACCTCGGAGCTCGGCAGCCTCGATTAGTCCTCGAGCTGGTGGACGTTGTCACGTTTTGAGCAATCTACAAGTGAGCAACGGAACAGCAAAACTCAAGCGTTTGTTAATCTATAGCCAGGCAATAACACGATCGTATCATTTGTTCACGACAAACACCCAATGTATGGTACGGCTTGCGATCAACAGTCGAGGCTGAGGGCACGACCGCGTCGTCGGCAATGACGCATTCGTTCGGCCTAAGTCTATCACTATATAGAAGATGTTTGTTTGTTTCTGCATTGGCAACGTTAATCCGTCTGTTGGCCCGTAAACAAATCGTTCACTGCTGTAGAACGTGAAGTAGAGTACTGCGAATGTACGAATCACCAAGACCGACAATCATGGATAGTGCGACGTTTTGTGGATATCGGGGATTTTCGAGTCGGCCTGAGGTCTTACCTCTACGCAAAGAAAGCTTGTAAGACGACAAGACACATTTAAACTTCGAAATTGCCGAATCGAGGGGCCTTTGTCGCAAATATCGCTGCAAAGATTTTGTTTGTTGTGGTTATATCGGCAGGGGATCCTAAAAGTCGTCAAATTTCATCATAGTGATCTAACGACGATCTAGCCTCTCTGCCATTGCTGAGCTTGCATGTAAACAGATAAAATAATATATTTTAGGTCGGAGAATGTTTGAAGCGAGCTCTGTGAATCGTGGAGTCCATTCATTAACAGCACGCTACCATAGCATGTAATCGAATCTTTCCCTTTTTTAAAAGTTTTCTATAAGGTGGCCATGCCCTCTTAGGCAGCGGAAGTATTTAAATGTTAATTACCCCGCCCTACCGTCAACAACCTTGAAAGCGTATTGTAGACAGTTCTTGTATGGCAAGTTGTCGTACCTAGAGAATAAACGTTATTTCTATTAACACGTTTTTTATTGAAGCTTCTCGTCGTCTACCAGGGGCAACTTTCCCAGCTAACCCCAACGTAGTCCGCGACTATGTTGGGGGGACGTACGCAGAACTTCGTACTCTCAACTCGCAAGGTAGTGCCTAACTTATCAAGCAAGCGATTGCTTTACTCAAAAAGCTACATTTAGCCAGGCTGGATAATATTCGTCTTAATGAGAACTCTCTCACTCTTGCACGGCGTATTAGCAAAGGTTTCCGTTTGTCTTGCCGAACTTTTTCCCACGTGAAGTTTCGGTGATGCCCACTGAAGAAAGCGGCCGCGTGATCGGGTTGCTGCTGCCGCCGCCTGTATTCAGGCAGCTTCTGTATGTGACCATTTTCTGTGGCCGCTGATCATACAGCTGGAGTAGCATTAGAGTTTGTCTTATTAAAGAGGCGTATGGACCGACGGAGCAAGAACGAATTTGTGAGAACTTGTAAAGCTGTTCCGGACCCAGCGTCAATTGTTTAGAGCTATGGGCAAGGTGAATCATTGATCGGCCATTGAACATACTACGCTAATATAGGTTCATCGGTTGATTCGGTCGCGCATAGACGGCGAAGAGTCACGATTAGACGGCTGTAGCTGGCTTCGCCCTGGCTAGTCATAAGATTCGTGCAGGCGTCGACTCACTAACTCACGAGAAAAGGCGTACGGTAGACTCTGGCGGGGTGGCCATATAGATCTCAGAAAGGAAAGAGAAATTCGCGGTGACCACGGCATCACCAGCACTTCGAGAACCATCGATGTTCTTTTCAAGTTTTAAGATCCTTCAGCTGTTGGGCAAAGCGGTTTCGGAAGTTCGAGACAGTCGACGGCTGGTGGGAGCGGAAACCCGAGCAGACGAAAGCGAATCATCGCGAAGATTCAGATTTTCGAAGGGTGGAGGTCGTACGAATGCTCGACGTTATGGTCGCTTCGGTGGTGAACGTCGAATATGGTCTGATCCGGATATGCCCCCTAACAGACGAAGTATATCGCAAGGAAAATTTTTGAATGTCCAAGCTATATCCGGCTCTATGGAAGATCTTTCTACTATGAATTATTTGTCGTATAAATCGAAGCTATAATTGCCGTTTATTTCAGGTCGATTTTCTCATTCATTGTCATTCTATTTACCGCCCCTTACGAGCCACGCACACCGACCCAGCTCGTAGAGTAGCCTCCACGGTAGCAGTCACGTCACGCAATGGAAATTTCGTAGCTGAATTCAAATAGCCCAGTTTTATTTTAACTTTTAGCATTGCCAAGAACTTAGTTGCTGTAGGCAGGGCAGTACAGTCTACTCATTATAGATAATTCAGCCCAACGCCCCAGTACACATAATGCTTACGCTTATTCGAAAATCATTCATTGTTTTACACCGTTGCATTTTACGTTCAACGTAAGGTCTGTCCTACCTATATTTATGCTTCTATTCCTAAATACTTACGAACCCTGAACTCGCATAAATTTAACCCATTATCTGTATACACATAACAGATAGATATGATCTATTCTATTACAGTATTTCTTCCTCGGTGATCTCCATTGAGAGTCCCGGCGCCTCGCATACGTATCCGCATCCGCAGTTATCAGAAATGCCACGCACTCACCGAAGATGTATGTAAAAATTTGCCGACTAATCGGCCCGCTCGCTATGTGAGCCCTACTACCGATATGGGCGTGCACGATATAGGACTCTTAGTTAGAAGTGCCGAAAACTCATCTAGTAGCAGAGGAAAAAAAAAACCAATGCACAAATGTGAACAACTAAGAAGCAATTTCAATTGAACAACCTGTTACAGGGGCTCCGTCGTCGGCTGGCGACCAAACTCTCTCAGTTCCTCTCTCTGAGAGAATTTTGCTGAGTGTTGGGGAAGGTATGAGCTATATGGATGTTGGAGGTACATGAGGTACGCGCTGTGCGAATTGCATATAGACTACTACTACGTAGAGTTTGTGGGCCACTGCATTCGAACGAGTCTCCTGGGTCGACCAACCTTTGAGGTCGCCATCCTGTGGGAACGGGCGCGATTCTTTCGAAGCAGCCCAGTGGTGGGCGCATAAACACCGGCTTAACAGGCAACGATCCGTCCCGTTGAAAAGATGGCGGAGAACAGGCAGGATAAACTGAATTGGCGAAAAAATCCAAAGGAAGACAGTGCATCGACGAGTCAGAAACAGCGCCATCGTGACACAGGTGACAGTAATGCTCGTTGACTTGAATTCAGAACACATCCTGGCCGTCAGACACAGGATACCGGATGTTCTCTAACGAAAAACTGCTGTTTGTCACCGATCTGTTATGGTGGAACGAGATCCTGGAGTCGGAATAACATCTTTAGTGCTTGCTATCATATCCGGAGTAAAACAAGGGAATGGATCCGGCGCTCTCAACCGCAACAAACGGAATTCCGTCAACTTTCAAATGAATATAGTACCTAGCCGATTGAAAATGAATCTCACACTCTAACCCTGGCTGTAATCCCAAATAGAGCAGCCAAATAATTCATACCCGTGAAAATCATTAAAATGTCTCAAAAAAACCGTGAAGTCAGACTAGAACTAGAATCGCTTACAGACGATCCCATTCTATTGTACGTGCGTTCGAATTGTTCTTTTTCTTTATTCACAGATAAACCTATTTCCAAGCCAAGATATTCTAAACATAGATATCATCTGTTTACCCTATTGTAAATAATATTGTATCGACGAAGATGTCGACTTCGGGAGGTTTTGGTCTTCGCAAACACGTTACTTCACACGTACGTTTAGAGAAGTACGCGCTCACAGTAAACACTAACACCACCATATATATTATCGCTTCTGTCAAAGAGTTTTTTGTCACATACATTTTGTTCCTGTCTTCGAATCCGCTTACCTTCCTTTCATATTGGCGTGTTCTACGTTACACGTACCTCAAACTGTATTTTTTTGCATCGGATAGCTCCCTACGCTCCCTTAAATGACGAGTAAGTCCAATTTCCTAATTTAATTCGTATTTTTACTATTACTTTAACTATCTCTTCTTTGGGTACTGCCATGTTTCAGATTTACTAATCTTTGTATAGCGTATGTCCAAGCAGCCCATGTATGGTAAATCAGTTGTTTCTTTCGGAAAACTTAACAACCAGCTAAACCTGCTCGCTACCTTCGCCCTCACCGTTGCTGCCTTTATGCTACACCTATCTGGCTACCTGCACAGATGTAAATATTCTATAACTATCCTTACGAATTCCTGGGGACTGTACCGTTTAGTCGTTATCTCAGGACCAACAAGTTGGCCAACTATCGCCGGTTCATCAAGGAGGTTCCCACCGTTACGGAACTAGCTCAGTCACGACGCCCTTCACCGGCCGAAGCAGGCCGAACGGCGGCAGCGGCGATCCGTCTGCGGTAAACGCATTGTCAAGGCGCCGTAGTAATACTACGATTGTTGTAATAGGTGAGTGTTTGCGTGTTCGCATCTACGTTACTTAACTTCGAAGTCTGCACACACAAGCACACGCTTACTAAGAGGAGACCTTTGATATATGACGTAGCCGAACAAGCTACAAAAAAGACATTGTAGCCACTTTGAACAGTGGCGGACTACTTGGGCCCGTTTCAGACCACGAAGCTGGGTGAAACCGTTGCCCGTCATCGCGTTTTACCGCTTGTTTAGGCTGCGTATGACTACAACGCAATGAGTACTATTCTCTCGATCATTTTACTATCCCAGTTGAGGTTCTTTCAGAGCTGTAGCGCCAATTCCCACAGAGAACGCGCGCGCGTTAAACGCTGCTAAATGTTCTAGACTCTGATCATCGGCACTCGTAACCAGCAGAACCAGGACCTGCTATCAGGCACACACCCAACCGTCTGGCAGGACATGCTGAGCAACGGATAGCGGCCCTAGCCATAGCAGAATTGGCTTGATCCGCCTGATCCGATTGTCAGAGCTAACGTCCAGTGTGCGGACTGTGCCAATTATAGGCTAGACGCACAGACAAAGATAGATGCAAAAAAATAGGGTTTAAAAACAAAGGCAGATGAAAGCCCGTTGAACATCCTGGAGAGATCTTAAACGAATTCAAAAAGCCACAAGGACGGCAACGTATAAAAAGGACTGCCGTTTACATGAAAGGATATGTCAAGCAATTGTTATGTTTCTAGATAAAAGCTGAATGAAACATTGATCGATACGGTTTGTATTTGATATAATGCGGACAATTAAACTACGACTAAAAGAAAATTATGTTATCCGTTTGGAAAACGTTCCCACTACGATTTAAATGGCATGGCAGCCATTTTCCATGTAGAGCTTTAGGTTATTCTGGTACCTTAAATTTGCTCGATTGATTTTTGTTGCCTCGTATGCCAAACGAGGACAGAATAAGAAAAACAAATGAAAAAAACGCATATTTCGGGAACCCTCCTTGACAAGCACATTTTTATAGTTAACCAACCAAAACATTCCTACCTGTTCACATACCCTATGGAATCGATTTTGCTCAGTGAGTCAACAATCTATATGTTGGCTATTAGCATAATTCGTTTCATATAATCATAAGTTATTTCGTCATATGTCACTTCGAACGTTGTCAGCGGTACGTTCAGTGAACCCTAGGCCTCCTAGCGAGAATTCACCGTCGGTCGACTGAAGCTTAATGAACGTCGCAACGCTAAAGCGCTCACTGGCATAGGATCTGACATCATAGGTATGTAATAGTTTATGCACGACGTACCACATCCTCCCGGACAGCGATGCCGGCCAATGACTCCGCGGTCACCCCTCTAAACTTGGTAATCGAACTTGCAAAGTTCGTCGCCACTAAACTGGACGCTCAGGGTTCGTTGGCCGTTCCCATAACCTCTGCAAAGTTTGCAGTTTGAGCACGCCGGTTCAGGACTAGGCGATCCTTAGAAACGGGCATGCGACCTTCTAGCTGAATGAACTGCCTGTAGATGGTAGATAGGTTAACTTAGATCGCCGACAGCACAACGCGCTCTTTCGTTCGGAAGCCATTTTGTGTACCTTCGTTTCATACCGAGAGTAGGATACGATGCGATCCACTGATGCGGGAAAATCTGAAACAGGTAGTCGGTCACCTTTGGTGTAACTTCCGATCGGGCTGAGTCTTCGTCATCGGTAAAGTACAGATGAAATAGTACCATTTAGTCGATTATGGGGAGGTGTTATACATCATGCATGAAGTACTTCGTAGTTATAATGACTTATCGCTTGTTACCGTTTAGAGAACTCGTAATAGGACTCGCTAATAGAAGGTAAGACAAGTGTAACCAGTGGTACGTTTGTGTGATTAATATCATGTCTATAACCTATAGACACATGTTTTTGAGGAGTGACCGAACGGAGTCAACCTTCGAAAGGCTGATTTTAAAGCCAATAGAACGGGTCAAACGAGAACACTTACGCAGGTTATGAGCTATGTCAACAAATAATTGCTATGCTCGGATTGTCCTGTCTGTACAAAAAAAATAAATGCCTAAAATCATTTTCAATTTTTTATTTCAACAAAATATAAGTATTAAAAAAGCAATTTTTCCAATTTATATCTCATATCTCGACATGTCGTTCAGACACAGAGCCACTAGTTTCGCCTTACTCATCAGATACATAATAAACGTAGGACGCGTTTCAGCTACGGTACGTGATATCAGCAAGGACTTGTGGCGAAGCACGCTATCCCAACGCTGAGACCTCGAAATTTCTTCGACGCTACCCGCGTCAATCGAGAGTGGCTCACGCAGCCCCTACAGACCAATCAGCCCTAAATCGCCTACAAACTCTTAAGCAAGTCAATGTTATATGTACCGTTAGTTTATCTACTTCCCGTCTAAATCACAATCGGTTATGCTGGGAAATACTAGCGATAATTTAGGTAGCGTAAATGAAGCTCATAACAGCAACGCGGTAAAAATGATTTTGGTCACTTGTGAGACATTTTGCCAGAGATGATCTACCAGAACTCAAACCCCATCACCATTGTACATAAATATAATTCAATTCGAGGAAAAAAACCCAAAAAAAAAAAAAATTTAACGATCTTTAGAGTCGCCCGTGGGTCGCATAGCCTGGGTTGAGAATAGAAGTCGCATTGCAAATCAGTGAATCAGCAACGGTTTCCAGCCATACAGCTCACGAAAAGACTGCCTTTTTGCCAATTATCACATTGGTTAGCCAGTGTTTCTGTGGCCTGATGGAAACGTTTACTCACATCCTCTCAATTATTTATTGCAGCTATAAATGGTTATAATAATACTCCTAATGAAATTGGGGTTTCCGGGCCAGCCATATAAATGCCGTGGACGACCTTTAATAAGCTGGGTTCATCTGACTGCCCACTGGATTACCAACAGAACCCGAGTGTCATCAGCAGTCAGCTATATACGTTAATCAGTCATTTCAACAAGTGCTTCCGTCAACATAATTCCGTCCAACATGTATTAGTCTGAAAATGTATTAGGCTATTTTCAGAGATGATACATGCGAGTCGTCATGTGGCAGATCGGCAGGCTGATTGCTCAGGTATTTTTTTACTTCATTTGCAGGCTTTCATTGCCAGTGCTATAACGGATCTCTTTAAAACGGTTAGCTTACTTCATCGGAGTCATTCTGGAGTGATGATCTATTTAAAAAGACAAAGGCTTGATTAAACTTCCAAAATCACCAGCCCAGAGCTAGCAGGAAGCTGCTTTTATCCCTTGTTTTACAAGAAGATAACGAGATCTCTCGGGTAAAAACATTGACAAATAAAAACAAAATAAACTAAAAAAAAAATAAAAAAAAAGTAAGTTGAAAGGTACACGGGTGTTGTCCACATATGAAGTATTGTACACTGTAGATTCTAGGTAGAACTATCGCTCGATATAAGATCAGTTGACAAAGCGAAACGATACATGGGTACTTCTTTTTATCTCCCTGTTAGTAACTGTGTTGTCTCACTGTGTAATAAACGACCATATCATATTGGCAACTGCCATTGTCGACTCACGTAAGGGAACCTCAACTCCAACGAACTAAGTGTCGCATCATCTGTAATTTTACTGGACGAACAAACGATGACAGACTTAAGTGTCTAAGCTTTTGTCTGTCCTTCGCAAAGAAACACACAGGACAGGACTAATGATACTCGATGAGTAGTTTTTGTGGCTGAATGCCACTGGCTGGCTATAATTAAAATCACCATATAGTAACGAGTAAAGCAAGCAAAAGCAACAGCGTCGATGGAGTCGTCGAACGTATCGTTCGTAGGCGACCCGATACCGCAATGTACAGGAGTCTCTGTAAGCACGATAAATAATAGTATAGTGTGACATACAGGTTTGGCGTTCAAGCACGAGCCTTCGGTCGGATACGACATCGCGATATTGGCCTATGGTGGCCTTTTATTTTTTATCGATCATTCAACACCGTCTTGATCTTGAATTCGGTTCTGTGCCATTATCACTCGACAGCAGGAACGCAGTGCACAAAAGAACCACGTTCGCGTACCACAGCACTTATACGGTAATATGGAGTATTGTCGTTCAACGCTATTCAAACGAAAACGTTCCGACAGAGCCTTACGTGGTTTCGGCCATTGACAAGTTGTGGGGGCGAACGGGAACACAAGAGTACAAATGGAGGATAGGATTTTTGCTGAAATATGATGAAATCGTGCTGTTTATACGTAAGGGGTGGCTTCTGAGGTCAAAAAATCCGGAAAGCCTATACAAGGCAACAACCATTAGAGCGCTAGGTTTAGATGTCGATTTTACAAGCACACAGCACTGATTAGCAATGTCTCGGGGTAGTGTGGCGCACAAAGAGCAGGGTGAGAAGATTTGTCAAGCAATATTGTCAAGACGCTTAGCAAATGACGACGCAAGGTAGCAATACAAGGTTAGTTCGTGCTAGGTGCTGGTAACAGAAGACAGGTCTTAGGCAGGTTGTTTTTGGATCGCGTGAGCTGTCAAGCGACGTGACGGTGTTGGAAAAATAAGTTCGTTGTATTAGCTCGTTTTCGCTGTGTCCGGTTAGGCTGCCAGGCGCTATCTAGGCAGTACCAACGCTGTCTTCTCTGGGGCTACGAGCCACACTAGGGGCCTCAAATTGAAAGAGCCATTGATAGCTTACGCCATTTTCTCTACACAGATACGTATCTCCGTGCATGTAAAAGGGCTATACATGCACGTGTAATATATACGTATGTTCATGCTACATGCATTAATGCCCGTAAAGTGTCTATTAATTGCATATAAACTACGGATTCGATTTGACTCGGGTCGATGCGTTTTCGTTGTAGAAATTAGTAGTCTGATTTGCAGTGGGAACAGTGGCGACATTCAGAAAGCTCGAACGGCAAATACACCAGTGATGCTTAACAATGGATATGTAGCGAGGATATGAACAATGTCTAATGTGATTCCGCCATAAAAGGGGGCATTCATTCCAGTCGCCTCGCATTACAGCATAACAGCCCCGTTTTCACTATACGCACCAGTATTATCAGTATTCTACAATCTGCTTTAATAGTATTTACACGATTTCTCCGCCATTCCTGAATGTTCCACCTTTTTTCGTCGCCTCGTAACTACAGGCAAAATGAACCCGATGAGGAACATCAATCGCCACTGAACAGCGGCCGACGAGCCGCTGCTACCGGTCGTGCTTCGTCGTGCCTCCAGTGTTCATGGCGCTCACCCCACGAACCTCGCTTCGTCTCGTGCACTCGCTCATACTGACATTTTGCAGGCTTTCAAGCCGAATCAAGCAAAGATGGGCAGACGAAGATGGTCCACCGCACCGTAGACAACAGCTGCCCCCGCCACAGCAGTCGACTTCGAAGATGACTCGAAGCGGACGACGATGAACCATTTTTCTGGCCTGATGTGATCGGCCTATGCTTCTGTCGGCGTGAAAATTCGAACTGAAAACTGGTACCTAACTCGACTGGGATGCTGCCACATTCAGACACAGGACACCCGCTTTACCTGCTGCTAACTGGGTGAATAGACACAGTACGGGTAACATATTCTAGACACGGTGTCCGGACGTGGCCTAGGCGAGGGGGGACTGTTGGGGCTAACGAAGGAAAACGGTTCAAACAATCATCCAACGCT